CAATTGTAAGTAATGTGGGGACAGAGTTTTCTCTGGATTAGTACTGCAGCAGTTCAAGAAGGCAGCTCACCACAACCTTCTCAAGGGCAATTAAGGATGGGCAATAAATGCTGACCAGCCAGCGACGTCCACATCCCAAAAATGAATAAATATTTTAAAAATTACAAAGGATATGTGTCCAAAATGTGTGTAAGGGAGTAAGGGTAGTGAGAGATGCAAACAGATGTAGCTTTAAAACCTTGAGCTCTGGAATTCCCTCACCTAACAACTGCCTTTCTTCCTGTCTCCTGTTAAGACATTCTGTAATGCATATCTCTTTAGTCAAGCTTTTTGTCACCAGTTATCAGGTTTCGTAATTTGGCCTTTTTTGCAAGAGTACTTCGGTAAAAAGTTGTTGCAATTATAAAGCGTCTTAGTGAGACTGCACCTTAAGTATTCTGTACTGGTCTGCTCTCCTTATCCAGGCAGGATGTACTGCCCATAAAAGGAGTGCAAAAAGCTCATCAAATTGATCTGTAGGATGGTTGGATTATCCTATGAGGAAGGATTAAGAAGGCTGTGCTTTAATTCTCCCAGAGTTTATAAGGATAAGTGGTGCTCTCGTTGAAGCACGCAAAACTCTTAAAGGACTTGCTCGAGTATGTGCAGGGATGATGTTTCACTGGCAAGGGAGTCTAGGTCTTGGGCATACAGTATTAGAATAAGAGTTAAAACATTTAGGACTGGGATAAGTAGAAATTTCTTCATTTAGCAAGTGGTGAATCTTTAGAATTCTGTACCCCAGAGGACTTTGGAGACTCAAACATTGAGTATATTCATGACAATAGATTGTCAAGAAAAATTAGCAATATGGATAGCATGAGAAAATGATGTTGACGTGGAAAAACAGCCATGATCAAATTCAATGGCAGAGCAGGCTCAAGGGGCAAAATAATCTATTCTTGGGAAAATTTCAGATTTCAATTCCAGAATCATTAATTTTTCATGAATTTCATGAATTAAACCAGCATGCATATCAGGACCCCTCAATTGCTATCTCAGCACTCACTCACTTTGCACCCACTTGGATGAACTCACCATCTCTGCTTTGTCTTGCCTTTTAGTGTTTGTTTGCTCATTCAGAACTGGAAGGTTCGTAGATCAGTCAGAGACTGACTGGCCTTTATCAGTCAGGGCTGTTCATCTATTTCATTCAGGAGCAATGCTCTCCTTTTTGCAGCATGTGGTCGTATGAAGTCCATGCAGAGCATCGACTTCTGAAGCCAGAAGTTAACCTGTTGGCAAGCCAATCAACATGCATGGTGCATTCTCACAGCTCAGAAGAAATTTTGGTCAGGCCCGGATTTGTCATAGCAGTCAGGTCGAGGAAATTTGAAGAGGATTATCGAAGGGACAACTGGTGAGGAAGGGAAGTTGGGGAAGTACATTCTGGGACTTTGAGGTGGCATGCCAGGATGCAGATGGGACAATATTTGTGAAGGAGTACAGATAATGGTGCTTTGGCAGACATGGGTTACTGTGGTGGAAGGACATGGTCTCTACAAATCTGGGTTTGGTGGGGCACAGTGCAGCGCAATGGTTGGCAAGACTAGGTTTAGGCTCAGAGCTCGGGGGATAACGTTGGAAGATGAATGAAAGAGGTATGTGAGAACGTGTGCAGCTTGTGTACTGATGGGCTCGATGAGGGCCCAAGGAAGAAAGGAACATGGAGGTTTGAATGGGCCGATCAGTTGAGGTTGCAACTCACTGTGCCAAGTACAACCTGCATGGCCTTACATGCTCATGCAAATCATAAATCCACAATAGAATTAGAAAATGGCTATGACCACATAAAGACTGGGCAGAATAAGTGTTTTATTTCTGTCTGAGCATACTGGCTTTACTTGCGAGTGAAATGAACCCTTCAAGAGCTAATTGGGTTAACCAGCACTTGCACTGCAGAGGTTGAAATCATTTGTAATCGTAGTACCCTGTATGTGAGATGCATGTTGTGGGATACAAATCCTGGTCACAAGCAATTTTGACCGTGTCATTGGTCATTACAGATTGATCATAGTTATTTCTATGAGGCAGAAATTATCATAGGCAAGCTTAAAAGTGCACTTCTGGGGCACCATTCATAAAGGCAGTCCAAGATCCCATGGGCTGCAAAAGGGCATGGAGCTGCTTTCCTTTAACTTTGAACTGTAAGTATTCACCAACGTGCAGTTATATGCAGTGCTGTATTTCTTGGATAATGTGAAAGTTGAAGGAGGGGAAGTAAGGTATCAGTAATCATACAACACTTACAAACTCCTACTGTATTTTCAAAATGTCAGATGTCCATGTGGAAGCATTCCATGGCCCTCCTTAGAATCGTAGAGTCACACAGCTTAGAAGCAGGCCCTTCAGCCCACCATTTTATGCCAACCAACAAACACAAAACTATACTAACCCCATTTACCTGCACTTGGTCCTACTATGCCCTGCATTTTAAATGCTTGTCCTGGAGGTTCTTAAAAATTGCAAGAGTACCTGCATCCACCACCCTGTCAGGTAGCAGATTTCATGTTTCTGCCAGCCTCTGGATGAATAACGTTTTCCTTAGAACCCATCCAAACCACTTACTCCTCACCTTAAACATATACCGTCTGGTTTAGACACATCTGCCATGGGGAAAACAACTCTCATGAACCACCTTATCTGTGCCTCTCAAATTTTGTATACCTCAATCAGTTCCCCATTCAGCCTCCCCTGATCCAGCGAAAACAGACCCAACCTGTCCGGTCTGTTCTCATAACTGAGACTTACATCCTAGGCATCAACCTCATGAATCTTCCTTGCACCTTCTCCAGTGCAATCACATCCTTCTGTTAATGTGGTGACCAGAACTACGCACAGTATTTCATATGTGGCCTAACCAATGCTCTATAAAGTTGCAACAAGTCTCACCAGAATCCTCCATGATCTCTCTAGAAATATGGGTGATAAATGTGTTAGACAAAGTTCAGCATAAAAACAGTGCAGCCCATTCTTCAACCAGAGCCATCATGGTGCATAAGAAAGGTCTGCTGACAATGATGTTCTTATGCTTCGATTGATTGAGGGGCCAGGGTCCCTGCCATACAATCCAAACAGGGTATGCTCTATAATCCTAACCTGATGTGTTTGGCACAACTGGATCAGGCAAAAGGGGATTTGTTGGACACTTAAGAGCAGGGAGAGAAAGAGCAGTCTTCTGAGGAGGAAAGTAAGGATATTGAGTAGGAAGACTATCACCTTCTGTGTTATAGGGTGGTGCAGCGCAGGTGCAATAAAACAGACAAGATGTAACTGATACCCAGGTTGAATAGATTTGAGCTGAATGCAGTGACCACTCATTGACTGTAAATTTGTTGTTGATCAAAAGGTGAGCAGCTCCCAAAAGTAAATGCAGCTTTTGTTTAGTTTTATTCTTTGCTTTCTAAAAGTGAATATTCTCAATCATTTGAAGGATTTTTAGTATATGATGCTCCCACATTGAACAATGAGAAGATATTAGGCTACACTGTGCACTAGAGAAAGAATAGCACTTGATTATACAGCCTGCTGAGCTGAGATGAGATGATGCCAAGGACTGTGGGTAACATGAATATCTCCGTTCTTATAGCTGCAGTTAAAATGACAGGTAATGTATCTGTGGTGAAGCGTCAGGCCATGCCACCTGTGTCCCTACAAAAGTCTTTCCTTTTTGTTCTCCTCCACTTCTTGCTTTGTGAGGACCAGCTCCTGGTTGGCAGCATTTGATCTGGGCACAGTTAAGCTTTAAAGTGGTGCTGTTGCCAGTAATCCTGGGAGGTCCCAGTAATGTTGAGTGCTTCTGCCATTGTTGAGCAGAAGATAGCATGAGCAGGGTGCTCTAGAGGTGTGGTGTATAGCTAATGAGGAGAGCTGTGGAGAATAGCTTGAGAAAACCCGCTGGGGTGCATGGAGATGAACCCTCTATGAAGCTCCCCGAAATTAACATGTAGCTGATATCTGGTAGAATTCGGTCCAAAATGCCAGCAGTATATACTGCCAGCAAAACTCACTTCATCTACTTGACAAGTGTGCTTTAGATAGCACCTTCCATAGCAATGACCTCTACTACTTAAAATGTCAAAGACAACACATACATGGGAGCAAGTTAACCTCAAAGTCACACGTCATCCTGAATTGAAGCTATATCATCATTCCTTCACAATCACTGGGTCAAAATTTCGGAACTCTCTTCCTAACAAAACCTTGGCTGCCCCTCCACCACATGGACTGTAGTGGTTCAAGAAGGCAGCTTAGCACCACCTTTTCAAGACCAATGGGAATGGGGTACATATGCTGGTCTAACCAACAGCAGCTACATTTCTAAATAAATGAAACAAAATTGAGATTTAGATCAACCACGATTCATAGAAAGCAATGTATTTGGTCGAAGAACTGTATGACCTACACCTGTTCCTATATGTTGTGAGGAATCGCTCAGTGCAGAGACTAAAGATGAATGAAGGAAGGATATCGCTTAGGAGCTTGTTGGGTGTTGATAGACATATTGCGCTGCTAAACTAATTTCTGAAATGAAGAGTAAGTGATTGGATTAAATGATTTCATTAATAATACCAAGCTTAAAGTCAGTAGTGGTGTAATTAAATTTCCTAAAAAATATTTTGTATTCTTTAATTAATTGCTGAATTAGTTATGTATTCAGGATACCACATAAACATTCCTTGCAACCGACTTATAATAGTTAATTTAAGGTTTTATAATGGTGTAGCCTTTTTCAAATCCAAGTTATTAATTATTTCATATAGTCTAAATTGCTGGGTATTTGTTGTGCTCCCAACATAGAATTTCTTCAGTGAGGTTTATGTATAAGAACTGATTTTTTTGAGAAGTTTATGTTAACTCCACAATTGGAGTTTACTGATTCGACTTTGAAAAGGAGACAAAGTATTCATTAAGTAATCATAGACCCTTACCTTTTCTTTATGTGCTTCTGGGTTTTGCAGATGTGAAGATATGGTGGATGTCCGGAGACTGAAAATGCTTCAGATGGTGCAGCTATTTAAATGTGAAGAAGATGCAGCACAGGTAAATCATTGAACTGTTTAAACACAGAATTTAAAATAACAAAGTGGCATGTTCCTGCAAACTTAGAGGATTTCAAACTTGAATTTGGAATGTGATGCACTTATATTTCAATTAAAAGTGTTTTTTCTTCCTTCATATATAAAAGGCAGTTGAATGGCTAAATGAACTATTGGATGCCCTCCTGAAAACTCATATCAGACTAGGAGATGATGCACAGGAAGCCAAAGTACTCCTGGAAAAGCACCGTAAATTTATTGATGTTGCCCAGGTATGTTGATGTAGTTAATGCTATAGCTACTATATATTTACCAAGGAAGCAAATTATAGGTAGTTGACTGTGGCGCAGTTTGAGCTAATTAACTATTGCTATCCACAAAAACAGTTTTCACTAATACAGGGCCATTATCATACAAAAATCTGCAAGGCACTTGAGGAAGTTGAAAGAAAAATCGGACAATGAGTCAAAGGAAAAGTTCGAAGGGTTGACTGAGATGTTGCTTGTAAAGATGGATTTTGAAAATTTCCCTTCCCCAGCGTTTTTCTAACTCTTTCTTGTTATCAAATAAATATGTTTCAGTGTCTGGACATCTTGTTCTGGAGGTCCTTAACTAAACATCACTTTCTCTGTATCTCCTTCTTTAAACCTTCCTTAAGCATAACTTCTCTGACCAACATTGCTTTCATACCTCAGAAACCTTTTTTTCCCTTTGAATTCAGGAAGTACCTTGAAATGTTTTTCTACAGGAAAGCCACTGTATATGTCCTTATTATTGTTATTTCTGTTGCTTAGAATTTTTTTGTTGTTCAGCTATTCAAGTGACTACAAGTGGAATATTGTTCTTTGTATAGTTAATGTGTTATGTTGCATAACTGCACTGTTTACAATTGTATACCAAGAATAATCTTGGAATACTTAATCATTCACTGTCTATCAAACTACTTACTCTTTGTCTACTATCTATGACATTGTGGCCGAGATTTGATTCTACAGCACCTAAGTATAGGGACTGACACGCTCAGTAGCAATTAACACTGTCCCCATCAATGAGAGAGCTCACTGAATCAAGCTCCAATCAGCTAGTTGACTGGTGAGCTACTTGGTGAATCACTCACTTTGAAGCTGAAGTCCCACCTTGCCAGAAGCCATCAGCCAATTAGAGAGGAACAGCTGCTGGATCCTCGAGATCATCACTAGAAGCCTAGTTTCATAGGATTTAGTGGCGAGAGGGTGGGTTAAAGGATAGGTCAGTAGAGATGCAGTGCAAACAGTTAGGTGAATATTTTGGAATACTTCTTCCTCATTGGAATATATCTAAGGGGAAGACCCACCTTCTGTGGTCAATTAAAAAGGTTAAAGATTATACCTGACTTGGTGTACAATTGTGCAAAGTTCAGTGGCACGTCAGAACGTTGGACAGTGTATAAAACAAAATGAAAGAATGACTAAAATGTTTAATAATTAGCGAAAAATTAGAATATGAAAGGCAACTGGAAATATAAAAATGTTACAAGTTTCGATTGATATTTTAACAAAAAACAAAAGAGTGAACAAAGCGAACGTTGGTCCTTTAGGAAGAAAGCCTGGGGAATGAGTAATGGAAAATAAGGAATGGCTGATAAATTAAACAAATCTTTTGTTCCTAATCTTTTCATGGTCTATAGGCATCAGTGGCAAGGACAGCATTGGTTGTCTGCACTGGCCTTGAACTGTGTGGCTTGCTAGGCCATCTTAGAGGGCAGTCAAGTGTCACTCACATTACTGTTGCTCTGGAGTCACAAGTAGGCCAGACCAGATAAAGCTTTCCTTCCCTACAGTGGATGTATGAACCAGATGGTTTTTACAAAAATCAACGATCATTTCATGGCACCATCTCTGAGACTAGCTTTTAATTCCAGATATATTAACTGAATTGCAATGCGACCAGCCATATGATAAGATTTGAACACCTGTCCCCAGAGCATTAGCCTAAACCTCAGGATTACTAGACAGTGACAGGAATTTTGCATCAATCTTCAAATTAGAGAATTAAAGTAACAATCCAGAAATAGCTGTAAATCAGAAAATGGAAGGGAGGAGGAACTCTAGAAAATCACAATCATTAGGGAAGTGGTACTGAACAAATTGCTTGGGCCATGGGCTGACACCTCCTGGGTTTTGATGGACTTCATCTTAGAAGTATCAAGTCAAATATTTGATCTGTTGATTTGTAATTTTCTAACATTTCCCAGATTCTGGGAAGGTTACAAGAAATTTGAAAATAGCAAATGTAACTCCTGTATTCAAGATGGGAGGGAGACAGAAAACAGAAAACTACAAACTTAATATCTGTCCTGGGAAGATGTTAGAGGCTATTATTAAAGACATTATAGCAGGTACTTAGAAGTTTAAATAATCAGGTGGAATCAACATGGTTTTGTGAAATGGAAATCATGTTTAGCCAATTTATTGGAATTCTTTGAAGATGTAACTTGTGCAATGGGTAAAGGAGAACTGGTGGATGTTCCGTACTTAGTCTTCCAGAAGACATTTAATAAGGTGCCATATCAAATAATCAAAGATTATTGCATAATATGAAAGCCTATAGTATTAGAAATAACATATTGACATAGATATAAATAAAATTGGCTAGCTAACAGGAAATAGAGTAAACATAAGGAGGTAATTATCTAATTGGCAAGATGTAACAAGTGTAAGGATTATCACTGGGATTTCAGCTGTTGCATTTAATATAAATGGCATTGGATGAAGGAACAGATGGGTCTGGCTGCTAAATTAGCTGATGACACAAAGATAGGTAGGAATATAATTTTGGGAAGAGGACATAAGGAGACTACGATGGGATTTAGATAGGGCACGTGGTAAATATCTGACAAATGGAGTATAATATGGGAATGTGTGAAATTATCAATTTTGACAGGAAGAATCTAAAATGAAGTATATTATCTAAATAATGAGAGAGTTCAGGAGCTCCAAAAACCAGACGGACCTAGCTGTTGTTATGATCCCAGCTTGTGGTAACACTGGACAAGTCAGATCACAGTCTAAAACCTGGCTTGATAGTCTGTAACTTTTATTTTTCATTTTTGTTTGTCATGGCATTCAGTCACTGAACATATGCAAGGCTGCCGTTTTACTTTAACAAAAGAACATAAAAGTTTATTGCATGAAAGAAGGCCACAAACAGCATTATACCATATATAAATATCAAAAAATAAACTTTTACCCCAGTAATATTGTTACAGTCATTCAAACATTGAAGAATCATCCCATGTCCATACTAAAGCTTCTTACTCAGTTGTCAGGCGAGAATCCATTCCCTTTGGGCAACATTTTGCACCTTCACTCAATATTGTTTTCTTTAACCAATGTCTTTGCCCAGGATCCTTATAAGAAGCTGCTAACTCAGCTCACATATTACTCATATTTTTAGTAACCTTGTAGGATGTCTTCCTCTCTGGCACTTCCACTGCCTTGTACTTCGAGCTTTCTTCTCACTAACTTCTAAGCACCTCAGGGATTCTGCCCGGACTTGACTCCTTTAGACTGTTAATAGGAACATATAAACATCTGTACTGTTCGGTCTCTTCCTCTGAGTGAATCTGATTTTGGCCTGTTTGTCTCACTCTCGCTAAATCTCTGTCTCCATCTCACTAAATAGCTCTCTCTGTGCTGGTGGTAACAGGCAAGTCAAGAAAAACCTTAGCAATTATCTCCCCAGCTGGCTTGCTGGTCATATAATTTTTTGTAAAGCTCATACATGGTACATTTTAATGTATTACAACGAGAATTGAATATGAAAGTAGGGAGGTAATGCGTCAACTATGCCAGGCATTGGTAGGCGAACATCTGGATTACTGTTCATAGCATAGGTCTCCTTATTTAAGGAAGAAGGTAAATGTATTGGAGGCAATTCAGAGAAAGTTTGCCAGATTAATACCTGGAACGGATGAGTTGTCTTCAGAGGAAATGTTGAATAGATTTGACTTGTATCTGTTGGAGTTTAGAAGAGTAAGAGGTGACTTGATTGAAATGAATAGGATCCTGAGGAGTATCAACAAAGACACGTGAAAAGGTTGTTTCCACTTGTGGGAGAATCCAGAATTGGGGTCACCCTTTTTAAAAAAAAGATGTCACCCATTTTTTTCACGTATGGTTGTGTGTCTTTGAACTCTCTTCCTCAAAAGAAACAAATAAAGCCTTTTAATATTTTTAACACAGGGATAGGTAGTTTCTTGACAAGCAAGGGGGTGAAATGTTATCGTGGGTAGGCAAGAAAGTTGAAATACCAGATCAACCATGATTTTGTTGAATGGCAGAACAGGCTGGAGGGGCCAAGTGCTTGCTCCTCCTGCAAATCGAATGTTTAAGTACATGTGCTCATAGCCTTTCTTTCTGGTTCGCTGATCGAAAAGCCAGAGGGTCTGAAGCAAGACAAGGGGTGACTCCCAGCTTCACTGCTGTAACCACCGCCCCCTCCCTCCCCTCCAGATCGAGGTAAATTGAGCCAACCTACCTCCTCACCCACCCCATTCCAAAACACAGCAGGCAAGTTGCAATGGTGTAGGAAACAGATCACTTCTCTTGCCTGTCAGGAAAGCAAGTAACTAGTTTAGTGGCGCATTGAGGCTCTGATGTGGTTGTCAATTGACTATTTAAGGGCCCTAATTGCTGATGAGCTGAGAAGGTCCCTAATGGGCCTTCTCACTCAACACCTCATAGCTGAGATGACAAGAATGAGTCAAATATCTCTCCATAGTCAATGTGCCCGATCATTTGCCCTTCTGCTCAATTCTAGGGAGGGAAAATTGTAGCCATGGCATGATTTCTGTTATATTCTCCCACAGGAAACTTGTAGTTGTTCCCATTTTTACAACTGTAGGGGGCAGTATTATAATATCGAGTGAAGTAATAATGCTAAAATACATTTGCTTCATTTGTTGCACTGTTTAACCATGGATATAATTAGGGCATATTGGCCTGTCAATTCCATGCCAGTTCACTGCAAGAGGAACTTGCGTAGTTCCATTTGCCCTACGTTGTCCCTGGAGTCCTGATTTTTGTTTTGTCCCTCCAGATTATTATTTAAATCTGTTTGGAAAGCCATGATTGAATTTGCCTCCACTATATTATCAGACATTGAAATCCAAATCCTTACCACTTGTTGTGTAGAAATAAGTAACTTCTCATGTTGCTGTTACTTCCTTTGCCAAGCGCCTTATAAATCAGTTTCCTCTGGTTCTCAATCTATGGGAAGAGATTTTCCATATCAACTCTGTCCAGACCTCTCATGATTTTGAACACCTCTATTCTTTATCAAGAAGAACTATCCCAACTTCTTTGCTCTCCCCATGTAACTGAAGTTTCTCACACCACAGAACTATTCTCAGAATCTCTGTTCACCCTCTTTGATATTTTCATATCTGAAGCGTGATGCCCAGAACTGGACACAGTAATCCAGGTGAAGCTGATTTAGTGTTTTTATACAGTTTTATCGTAGCTTCCTTACTTTTCTACTCCATGACCCTATTTACATAACCCAAGACCTGTATGCTGTATTAACCAGGCTCTCAACCTGCTTTTCTCCCTTTTTAATGATTTGTGCCTCTAATCCCTCTGTGCTTGCACCAACATCAGAATTATTTTCTTTACTTTATATTGCGTCTCTGTGCGCTTGCTACCACAATAAACTACGTCACATGTCTGTGCATTTAATCTAATCTGCTACTTGTTCGTACATTCCACCAGTATGCCTATGTCCTTTTCAACTTAAACATTATTCTCCTCACAGTTCATAAATATAAGAACAAATACTAACAGGCCCAAAGTGTGGAGGTAAAGAAAACATTTACGTATACATAGATGAGCAATATTCCAAATGTTTTCTTCTTTTAAAAAAAGGCCATTTCTGGAATATGTGCATTGCTGGCAAGATTTGGATTTATCATCCTTCCCTATTTTCCCAGACAAGGCAGCTGTAAGTTAACTTATGCAACTGAATGACTTGCAAAGAGTCAACTAAACAGGTGTGACATTGGAGTAAGAACCAAAAGAACTGCGGATTCTGTGAATCAGGAACAAAAACAAAGTTGCTGGAAAAGCTCAGCAGGTCTGGCAGCATCTGTGAAGAAAAAAAACAAGGTTAACGTTTCGGGTCCGGTGACCGTTCCTCAGAAAATTAGAGTCATATATTGGCCCAACCATGGGACAATGACAAGTTTCATTTCTGAAGTGATATTAATCAACCAGTCACGTTTTACTTGCACTGATGTCAGTTCTTTATTTGCAGCTTTTTTTTTAAGAAGTGAATTCAAACTGTCAAACTGCCATTCGGATTTTAATTAGTCCCTTAGATTATTAGTTTCAGGCCTCTAAATTCACGTTCCTTAACATGATCAATATATAACTGTCTTCCATAACTATTGGCGGTTGTAAACTGTAGATGCTTAGACCACCTGAACCAAAATAACAAGAAATTTGGTCACACCACCCATTTTTCAGATTAGAAATGAACATTTAAGGTTCCAATATGGCAGGTAGTGTGCAGTGGAATTACATCTAGGGCAGTCAGGCTAATAAAAATATTTTACCCTCGTTATCCAATATTGCATCCTATAAAACTTGCTCTTCTGGAGCAGTGTATTTCCAGATATCTGCATGAAATTTCTTGAATTTTGCTGAGTTTTGTTTTCCAAGTGCCACTTCTGCTTTGATCGTGGGCAATGTTTCTTCATCACAATTGTAGTGAGTTTAAAACAAAATATTGGAAGACCAGTATGCAATAAAGGAGAACATGTTAAATGTTCAGACATAGACCCTTCATCAGAACCAAAAACTCGAAGACATTTTTGTAAAACTGAACAAGATGAAGAGGCCATATGGAGAATATTAACAAATTTTTAAAAAATATTAGGAATACTTGGCAGTCATTTCGCATCTGCTGAAAACTGGTAAGTTAATATTTCAGATGTAACCTTTGTCAGAACAGGGTGAAAATTGAGAGTTGGAAATCCTTTAGAGGACTGCTAATTTAATAGCCTACAGATTTTTTTTAAAAGACTGGTGAAAATTTACAGATGCTATATGAAAATTAATCCCACCAGGTAGTGAAATAACAGTAAAACAACAAAAGTGTGTGGAAATGGCTCAGTAGATTGTGTAATGGCATGGAAAGGAACAAAAATAAAGCTTCAAAATACTAGCTGCATCAAAGAATCCATCTGAGCTTGCAAATAAGTGTGAAAGTCGATACTTCCGAGAAACAATACCTTCAACAATGCAACTCTTCCTCAGTACTGCATTAAAGCCTCATTATTATTGTCAAATTGTTTTGTTATATAATGGTCAGTTAATTTTAAACGTGTGTTACGTTAATTTTTTTTTGCATGAATGGATAATGTGGTATTTAACCTGAAACAAGGCCTTCGTGTTATCTTCCAAGATAAAGCACAGCTATGGTTTTGTGCAGCATAATGGGAACATTGATCTCAACTTAAATGATATGCTGCAATCCTAGGAGGGAGTGTGGTTTCCTCAACATTTTGAGTTGAGAGATGAAAATGCTTCTGTTGTGCCAAAGCTGACAAAGTTACTGAATTTTATGTTGAACTTAATGAAACATGAAATATGAAAACAGAATAATGGGAGCAAGAGCCAGGATGGCTAGTCATGAAGAACCAGGTTTTTGTTGTGAACAAAATTGTAAACATCAACAAAGCAAAATGCAAATAACATTTATCCATAATGTGAGCAGCAAGTACAGTATACTAGACTGGAAGAAAAATGAAAATTGTTATCTCATAGAAGAATATTTTGGACTTTGGGAAGAGGGAAATCGGCAAGTTTTATGACATCAGAAAGTGCTAAAAGGTCTGTGAACAGAGCCATATTTAAAAATTTATTTACATACTTCCAAAGACTTTAACACTAATATTAACCTTAGCTGCCAATTTATCATTCATGTTAAAGTCCTCATCCTGGCTAAACACAGGTGTATGGTGGCACACTGTACAAAATTATAGGAAGCAGAAGATTGCTTCTTGATAGTTGAACATGTGAACTATCCAATGACTTAAAATATCCTGCATTTCTTAATCAATTTGTCTGTTTAGAGAAGATTAAGGTATTTTTAATGATGTATTATTATCCAAAAAATCATTAATTCAGTTTTGCTGATATTTTAAATTTTATCTGAAATGAAATAGATTGCTATCAATAGGATGCAAAATATGCTCCAAGTAACATCTTTTCTTTTTAATCTCATCTAATGATCTACCTAGAGCACCTACGATTATGGAAGACAGTTGCTGCAGGCCACAGTGGTGCTGTGTCAGTCTCTACGGTGCACCACAAGATCATCAGGCGAGACACTACCAAGACTGAACAGAGTCTGGAAACAGTTTACTGTGACATCAGAAGAACGGATTCACAGACTGAACTTAGCTTGTGCATTTAACTTGGCTGCTGAAAAGGTTTGTGTTTTATTTTGTTTTTGGCCTAGAAATATTTAGATACACAGTAGCACCTAAGAAGTACTTTTCTTCACTGCCCTCCTGAATGTAGTGACTCATTTACATTTCATGTATAGGCTTAGCTAATGAGTAAATTTACATGGCATGATCAAGTAATCAAGCATGATTCTGTCAATATCTGACATTTCTCTCTACACATTTTACAATGAAGGTGTCTGGGTGCCAACAAGGAATAGGAAGCCTAGATGATTTTTCTTTTACCTTTCTGACCTGAGGACCTGAGGTCAGTTTTCGTGTCTGACTTGCATCAAGGTTAACTCCATATGGATCTGAACTTGTAATAGGAAGTTTGTTGATGTGAGTCAAGATCATACCCCACACAAAAATTGCCTACACAGCTATTGCAAAAACACTTTGTCCACATGTTTCTGTTCTGTGAAAGAGAAGCTTAAGTCTAATAGGAACTACTAGGAACTGGAAGCACTTGCTTCTGAATAAATATCTGCTAACCATTTTCTAAGGTTATGATTAAATAATTCTAGATTTGATCATTTTGTAGAAACTAAAACAAATGAATGTTGTAGCATAGCATGTTCACTCCATTACATTGGTATGAATTGAATTAATCTTTTTAGGGATTGCTCATGGCTCATTTTTGCATTTAGTAGCCTTCTCCATTGAGTAGTCACTAGAAGAGTCTCCTCATTCTGCAGAATGGGAAGAAGAAAAGTGTACTTCTAATTGATGTATAATTAGAATTATTTTGTTAATTCATTGTTCAGAAGATGTAGCTTTCTAATATTAATTATTTATGCTAAAAGGTTTATTTTTCAGATTAAAATGTTATCCAAAATGTTTATATTTCTTCATGAAATCTAATGACGAGAATACGGTTACACTTTTACATCAAGAAACTTTTCATTTTACAGAATGCATGATTTTTATCCACTTCCCAATTATTAGCTAGTAAAATTTTCTCTGCTTAGTTTTAATGCACTTTTGGCAAATTATGTGTGGTCATGACTTCCCATGCACATATCTGTGATAAATATGTTTAAATTTAAAGATCGTATTTTGCTTCAGGATTTGTATTTAGCAAGTAGAAGAAAGTCGAGTAATTCTCTCAACAAAAGTGTATTGCAGTGCTTTAAAAATCATGTTTTGTATTTCAGTCAAACCTACACGTCAAAATGCCACATATTTGAACAATTTGATACCAGAAATCTAATATTCTGACACATACTTTATAACTACATGTGTACTGCTTAATTAGAATTGAGTGGAATTTTATTCAGTCTATGGTTATGCCACATGCGTTATGTTTCATAATTTATAATCATTTTTTCTTCAGATACTAAAAGATAACTCACAACTAGAGGAGCACACTGAAGCCTGGAAGGAGTTTCTGGAAAGATTTGATGAAGTTGAAGTCACTGGAAAATCATTATTAGACAGATTAACAGTGCCTGTGATTTATCCTGATGGGTATGATTTAGATTATTGACACACATCTGTGCAAAGTGTCTTTCAAGCTAAGCTGAACAGCTAGTATCATTTAACAGCCACAAATTGTTGGGAAAATGGATGTATCTTCAACATTTTCAAGTGGAAAATTTTATTCCAGCAGTGTCTATACTGTAGAAAACTTTCAAAGGCCTTTTATAGAAAGGGGGTGGAAAGAATTGGTTAAAGAAATAAACAAATGGATTACATATTATGATAGAGATAGGAGAAGTGGTGGAAAGTTTGATTAAAAAAATTGTGTGAAAGAGAGGTTTAGGAAGAGAATTCGAGGGGCAAATGAAGGCTGTTTCACCACTGTCAAGAAGAAAACATGAAAAAAAGGCCAGAATTGTAGGACTGAAGGGTGTTAGAAAGAATGTCAAGCATACTGTAGGGACAAGGTGGACAAAGCCTTGGAGCAATTTGAAGAAGATTAGTTTAAATTCAATGCAGTCAAGAGCAGGGAGCAAATGGACTTCATCAAATGTGATGAACAAATCATGCTGAATGTGGGACAGGACAGGTGGGGAAAGGCTGAATTTTCAACAAGTCAAGAAATTATTAATCTGTGATATGCATGAAGAAGAAATATTTAGAGGTGACAAAAGCATGAATAACTGGTAAAGTATGACTGCCTCACTGTCCATAAGATGGCAAAAGTATCAGCTTTGTGAATGCTCCACAATGACTTGAGCTACTGCTCCAGATTTGAAATATGGATTTTCCATGCCTTCGACCATGCCTTCTTTGTGTGATTCACTTTTATTTTCTTCCTATTGACTGGGAAAGACCCTTCTCTGTGTCCCTTTCCTAGCTGGAGAAACATTTCCAAGGAAGCATTAAACTTAGGAACTACTCTTCCCCTAGCTGCAGTCATTTCTTGAAAGCAATCTTTGTGTAGTGTCTGTTCCAGGGTGTTTTAAATGCAGCTGTCACTCTTATTTCAGTTTCTGGGACCTGCTGTTACCCAACACCTGTTTTTGGGCGTTTCCAACACCCCCCCCCACCCATCAGCTGTTCACTGAATACTGCTGGTAAGATTCAGTATCATGCCCTAGCACTCTGCCTGTGCAGCTATGCATCCCGATTTGGAGCCCAATGAGAGACCAACCTTCCAGTAAAACTCAGCTACAATGGTTTGAAATTCTTCAGACACATTTGAGTGTGTGTGGTGTGAAATAAGTTGGCAGCCATCATGTAGTTTCTAATTTGAGTAGATCCACAGTGCAATAGAGTCACAAATGAGTGACTTGTTTACAATGTCATTCAGATCATAATGACAACTGAAGTGAAAATTAGAAAACAGATTTTTCTGAAGTTGAAATAAAAGGATGTAATTTGCACAATGTAGATTTTTTTTTTCTTTTTGCTGATCTGTTCTATAAGTGTACTTGAAAGTACTTGCTTCTGACACTTGGCAACAAATTCATGAAATAAATTATTCTAGTCTTCCGCATTAGCCTTCTTCACTGTGAACTCAGAGATCATGTAATATTATTTACTGTATGTACTATATTGTGATCAGTATGTGATTTAGAAGTGAAGTGTGATTTAATTGAATCTCATATCGTTCATTATCCAATGTCTTGTCTAACTTCCCAATAAATTTGTGATTAGTTTTATTGTACAAGGTTGTATAAGAGAAGTAACATTTGTTTTGGCATTACCTATTGAAATGCGTAAAGAATTATTTGCCAGTGGAATAGATCCTGTAAATTTAAACTAAGCATCAAAAGTGTAGGTAGGCCCTAGCTCAGTTGTAAAATCTGCAGCACAATAAAGTTATGCAAGAATTATGTAATCCCACAGAGTTTCTTTTAGACGCAATTTGGAGATGATAAAACCAAATAAATAGTGGAATCTCTCCTACTTTCTTAGTGTAAACCTGCCACATTCATCTAGTTAAGGGAAACAGTGGCCTGGTATTGTCATTGGGCTAGTAATCCAGAGGTCTATGCTCATGTCCTGATGCCATGGGTTTGATTCCCAACATGGCAGAAGTTGAAATTTTGAATTCAATAAAAATCTGGATTTAAAATGCTGGCCTAATGATGACCATGTAATCATTGTTGTGAAAACCTGTAGTGTCCTTCAGGGAAGAAAATCTGCCATCCTTACTCCAGTTGGCCTATGTGTGACTCTAAGCCCACAGCGATATGGTTGACTCAGAGCAAGTAGGAATGGGCAATAAAATGGCACCTACATCCATTAAACAAATGTTAAGTTTATTTTAAGTGGCTTTGTTCAGATGAAGATGAAGAAATTATATTTCAAATCATCTTGGGCAAAATGAACACCAAACATTCAGAATTCCACACAGAAGTTCATTAAAGTTTATTTTCAGCTGTTATGATTATTTTACATTTCAATAATTCTGCCTCTCCATACTTAAATGTGTTATCAATATTTTCCAGATCGGAGCAGTACTTTGGAAGTCCAAGTGACATGGCCTCTACAGCAGAACATATCCGAGAAAAGATGCGACTGGTTAGCCAAAAGAAGCCACAGATGCCAGAACACGTTCCAAAGGACAGTTAATGGATCAGCCTTTTTAGTGTATTGTCAAAAGCAAGACTGGAATCACCTCCTCAGCATACCATTGAGATAATAGAAATTTGTTTTGCATATGATGGAACTATTTACACTGGAAAATGGGTTTGCATTCCAAGTGTGCATAAACTGTGAAATTTTGATAATGGACCTTGAAGCAATTTTTGTGTACAACATGTGCAGTTATACTTTGGAAAATAAGCCTGATATCCTATCTGTGCATTATATGTGTAGAATTATTGCAGAAATACATTCTGCAAGTGAGAGAAACGGACTCCACTCCATGCATATTCTGCACAGCTTGCATTTGAATACAGGCCGTTATCAGCTTTGACTGTAGAAGCCATATTGACTAATTAACGTTGTTGCAATGGTATTAAGATCTGACAATAACGTAATATTGGAATTGAAAGCATTGCACTGAATTGAGTTCTTACCCCTAGAGCTTTTCAGTCCTGTCAACTGTTAAGTTTAGTGGTTGGTACAAAAGCTTAATGGTGCTACAAAATATTTTAGAATGTCCATGGACTAAGCAGTCCTTTTTACTGTTCTTAGACAGATGCAGTGGTACTTTTTGGCTTTTATTATATCTGTTCATAGATGTTGATAAAATATTTCCCTTGCAGTTAATGTTTTATTTTTTTTAATTTGCAGCTTTAATTTGTGCCAATATGAAATGTACATTTCAATGCCTTTGCTATAATTTCTTTGTTTTTCAATACCTAATCTGTTTTACATATTACAGTAATTACATATTACATGATATTTGATGATAAGGAGCTTTAAAATACAGATAAATAACTATGTTTTGACAGCCCAACATTTCAAGTTGCAATTTTGCATTGGAAAGTAATGGTTCTCATCCTTGCAAAATAAAATGCAATATGTACGCAAAGTATCACTGACATTTGTTTCCCTCAAGATGGTATGAAAAAAAAATTGAAAGCCCAAGTGACAGTTATGACTTTTCCATTCATTCAGGGAAGGTAGTGTCACTGGCAGCTGTGTTTATTGCCCTTAAGAAGATGGTGGTGAGTTAGCTTCTGAATTGCTGTCATCTACGGGGTATAGGTACATCCACTGTGTCTGTTAGCAAAGAGAGTTCCAGAATTTTGACCTAGTGACAGTGAAGCAATAACGATATAGTTCTAACTCCAGATAGAGTATGGTTTGGAAAATACTTTGCAGGTGGTGACAACCCCATAAATCTGCTGACTTTGACCTTTTAGATGGTAGGGATGTGGGTTTGGAAGGAGCTGTGGTGAATATCTGTAATGCTGGCTTTAAAAGAGCGTACACACATAAATTACTGGAAAAGCTCAGCAGGGCTGGCAGCACCTGTGAAGAGAAATCAGAGTTAATGTATCAGGTCTGGTGACCCTTCCTTAGCGTGTTGGTTAATCAAGAAGTGATATCAAGCTTGGGTTTAATGGCAGAAAGGTAGAAAGATTAATGGAGGTAAGACAAAATCAGAAACGTAAGATATAGGCATATATCTAAGACATGAAGCTGAAAACTGAAATTGTGATTTCATTTCAACAATATGGATGTGAATATAGGGGTATCCATAGGAGTGTAGGTGCATAGTTCCTTGAAAGTAAAGTCTCAGGTGGACAGGGCGGTGAGGAAGGCATTTGCCATGCTTTTCTTCATTGGTCAGAGCATTGAGTATACGATTTGGGAGGTCATGTTGCAGCTGTAGAGGACATTGATGAGGCCACTTTGAGAATACTGCATACAATTTTAGTATTGTTGCCATTCTATAGGAAGGATGTTAAACTTGAAAGGGTTCAGAAAAGACTTATACGCATCTTGCTGCGACTTGGGGTTTTGAGCAAATGCAGAGGCTGAATAGGCTGGGGCTTTTCCCTGGAGCGTTGGAAGCTGAGGAGTGACCTTTATGGAGGTTTATAAAATCATGAGAGGCATAGATAGGATAAATAGCCAATGTCTTTTTCCCAAGGGTGGTGTAGTGCTAAACTAGAGGCCATAGATTTAAGGTGAGGGGGGAAAGATTTAAAAGGTCTGAGGGGTAACATTTTCATGCTGAGGGTGGTGCGTGTATGGAACGAGCTGCCAGAGGAAATAGCGGAGGTGGGTACAATTACAACATTTAAAAGGTATCTGGATAGTTGTATAAATAGAAAGGGTTTAGAGTGATATGGGCCAAATGCTGGCAAATGGGACTAGGTCAGATCTGGTCGGCGTGGAAGAGTTGGACCGAAGGGTCTGTTTCCATGCTGTATAACTCTATTACAATAATTGCTGAAATCATATGCAGTGACTCTGAAGTCATATGCAACAAACCAACCATGCATTTAATTTAAACCGAAAGAACTGTGGATGCTGTTAATCAGGAACAAAAACAAAGTTGCTGGAAAAGCTCAGCAGGTCTGGTAGCATCTGTGAAGGAAAAAACAGAGTTAACGTTTTGGGTCCGGTGACATTTCCACACGTCCTGAGGAAGGGTCACCGGACCCGAAACATTAACTTTGTTTTTACCTCCACAGATGCTGCCAGACCTGCTGAGCTTTTCCAGCAGCTTTGTTTTTGTTCATGCATTTAATTTATCCACTTACACGTATTGTATAACTGTTTTGGCACACTCATTAATATGAGAACACACAAAATCTAGGCCTACAGCACACAAAAAAGTCTTGCAGCACATTGAGTCTGCTCAAGTCAAAAACAAGTATCTAACTATGCTAATCCCATTTTCTAGCACTTGGCCCATTGTCTTGTATGTGGTGGCATCGCAAGTGCACATCTAAATACTACTTTAATTTTATGAGAATTTCTGCTTCTACCACCTTTTCAGGCAATGAGTTCCAGATTCCCAGCACCCTCAGGATGAAAAGGTTCGTCCCCACATCCCTTTAGAGCCTCCTGTCCCTTACCTTAACCCCAGGCCCCTCCTAATTTTATGCATCTGAATCATCTCTTCCCCACAACCGTCACCACCTCAGTCTCCTCTGCTCCAAGGCAAACAATCTTAGTCCATGCAATCCCTCTTCATAACCAGCCCAGTCAACATCCAAGTAAATTTCCTCTGCACCCTCTCCAGTGCAATCACATTCCCTCCTACTACGTAGATTCCAGAACTGCACAATACTCTAGCTGCAGCTTAACCAATGTTTTGTACAGTTCCAGCATAAACCTCTCTGCTCTTAAACTCTGTGCCTTGGCTAATAAAACCTAGTATTCCAAATGCCTCCTTGACCTATTTATCCACCTGTCTTGCTACCTTAGGGAACTGGTGGACATGGACACCAAAGTCCTGTTATTATTGCTTCTTCCTAGGGTGTTACTATTCATTGTATTCCCTTGCCTTGTTGTCCTGCCCAAGTGCATCACCTCACATACCCGGATTGAATTTTATATATTTATGTATGGATACTGATCAATGTTTTTCTAAATTGTTTTTTGGAGTGTGTAGGTCATTAAGTGTGTGGCCCCTTTTATTTATTTTTTACATATCTTCAAACAGCAGTTAAAGGACAGTCTTCCTGCATAGTGATTTTATAGGTTACGAAGTTGTCATGCAGCTTAGAGCAAATATTGGTCCTCAGTCTCTGTTAAGGTAAGGACTAAAGACCATTTTTTTCCTTTAGCATATCTCATCTGCTGAGGGGACACCACATAGACGATTAGCAAGGAGTCTTAAAGGTTGAGTGATTGGAATAATTCTAAGTATTGTTCGATCAGGCAATTGCCTGACCACTCCCTGGAATAGCTCTCCAAATGTTGGTACCAGACGCCTGATAGAATCAAGGAATGGTTAACACGTATAAGGAGGCTGTTTTGGCCCATTGTGTCCGTGGTAAGTCTCCACAAGAGCAACTCAACTAGTCTCGCTCCCCAGATTTTTTCCATAGTTGCAAGGTTTTTGTTTTGGTCTTCAATAATTATCCAATATCTTTTTGAAAGCTACAATTGATACTCAAAATGTTTCCAGGTTGATCAGTTCATGAGAAGTCTGTCATATATAGAATTATTTTTTAAATGCTTAGTGTTAGAGGTGCACCCTAACCAAGCCACCAAGCTTGACCAGGTGAAACAGCTACACTGGCTGACACCATCAAACCATTATAAATATAAACTAGACAACTATTTGCTGATATATATGACGGATATCATTCTGTGTTATGTCATTCAGCCCATTTGTAAGCTTTGTTGTGTACGAACGCTGCACTTTCTGGGACAGTATATTAAAGGCACTACATAGCTATCAGTTAATGTTTTATCACAATAGTAGTACAAAGACTTTATTGAGTTATTTTTTTCAAAATTTTAATAGTGTAGCAATTCAGAACAACCTATACATCTGAATGGATAGAGTCAAAATGCATCTAGCATTGGGCCTTAGACTTTGTTGGTTAGCTCAACAGTAAAAAGGACAGGCTATTACAACTTTAACAGCAATTTTTATAAACTATTAAATGGATTGAAAGATGAGGACCAAGGCTGGATAACAACTTCTGTACATTAATAGTTAAAGCAATGCTAGACTGCTTTACTTGATGACATTGTGTGCTGTTTTCTTGTCTCTTTGATCTCTTTCTTTCAAATGTTGGCTTTGTCCTCATCCTCATTCATTTTTTTTTTGCAAGTCTGTTTCCTGCTCATCACCTTTGCCTATCTTCTCTGCCCATCCTTTTTTTTAGAATTTACATATAATTTACAAAGAGACCAAAAGTAATGTATCTAATTTTGCTGGCAATGCAAAATTAGGTGGAATTTTAAGCTGAGAGGAGGATGCAAAGTGTCTGTAAAGTCATATAGACAGGTTAAGTGAGTGGGTAACTATGGAGTATAATGTCAAGTAGGAAGTTATTCATTTCGGTCATAAGGAAAAGCAGAACATGTTTAAAAGGTGAAACTTATAAATACTTACATGTAAAGAAGTTTTTCTACAATCTTACATAGAATGTAAAGAGTTAGTGTGCAGGTACCTCAAGCAATTAGGAAGATGAAAAGCATCTAAACCTTTATTGTGAAATGTCAAAAGTGAGGATGCTCACTTTTTATTGCACCATGTTTACTGCCATTTGTGACTTGTCAGGTACTGGAACAGACTGTTCAAGTGCAGCAAGATCTGGACAACATTCAGTCTTGGGATGATGTGTGGCAGGTAATAACAAGAAAATCTAGCTGTTGCCCCTTGACATTCAAAGGCATTAGCTATCACTGAATCCCTCATTATCAATTTCCACCAGCTTACCATTGACCAGAAATTGAACTTAACTGGATTAGTGCAGCTGCAACAACTCTTAAAGCTCAACACCATCCAGGACAAGGCAGCCCACTTGATTGACACCGTATGTAACAGCTGCACCGATGCACAGTCTCTGTACCATCTACAAAATGCACTGCAACAACTCACTAAGTTTAACACCAGCTTCCAAACTTTGACCTGTACCACATAGAAAAACGAGAGCAGCAGATGTATGGTAGCACCAGCACTTGTAAGTTTCCAGTGTCATGGACACTGTCCTGACTTGGAACTATAGAGCCAATCCTTCACCATTGATGGGCCAAAGTCCTGTAATTCCCTCCTCAACAGCACTGAGCGTACCTACACTAAATGGACTGCAATGGATCAAAAAGGCAGCTAACTACCTCAAGGGCAATTAGGATTGGGCAACAAATGCAGGCTTGACGTTTGACACCCACATCTCATGAACAATTTTTTTTAGAATAAGCCTATAGATGGAATACTAACCCAGAATACTTTAGAGAACTTCTAAAAGCATTTTAACATGGTATAGACAATTGAAGTGTAAAGTGGTATCCGGTGTCATTCCAAGTCTTATTTCATTCATAAAAAGGATTGATT